GGGACACCTAACCACAGGTGGCCTGGGAGCCCATTGCTGGAAATGTCCCTGGAGAGAATGGCGCTGTGGCCTCTGACCATTGCAAGTGACATATGAGGACTCCGCAGTGCACCTCTTCCTGTTTGAGGTTCTACGGAAGCCCCAGTAGATAGATATCAGTGTTAGTTGTCAGATTACTTCAATGCTTGGTAACTCATATAATAATAAACACTTATCACCTCACAGGTTCTGTGAGCCAGGAACTGAGGAATGGCTTAATGTTCTGGTTCCATGTTTCTTAGGCAGTGGCAAGGACCTTCTTCTAAGGTCTCTCACTCTAGTGGCGGCAAGTTGGTGCTGGCTGTGGACTGGACGCCTTGGTTCCTTGCCCTGGGGACCTCTGCTCAGGTCTGCTCGAGTAGCCTCATGACATAGCAACCGGCCTCTCCTGGGATGAGTGATTCGAGAGAGCAAGGAAGAAACCACAACGTCTTTTGTAACTGTATTCGTTTCTTAAGGCTGCTGTAACAAAGTGCCACAAACAGGCTGGCTTAGCACGACAGATATCCACTTTCTCACAGTTCTGAAAGCCAGAAGCGTGAGATCAAGGTGTTGGCAGACAACACATTCCAAGAGCAGAAGTGGGGGGGGGGGGGGTCTGGATCCTGGTTCTAGCTCTCCCACCAAAGGATCTAGGGGAGAATCCTTTCTTGTCTCTTCTAGTTTCTGGTAGTCCCAGGTGTTACTTGGCTTGTTGCTGCATAACTCCAAATTCGCTCTGTCTTCACATGGCCTTTTCCCCGTGTCTTATACGCTCTGTGTCAGTCTTCCTGTAAGTCATTGGGTTTAGGGCCCGCCCTAATCCGTTATGCCCTTGATTACACCTGCAAAGACTTCCCAACTAAGGTCATGTTCGCAGCTACTGGCGGTTAAGGCTTCCACGTATCATTTCAGGGTACACAGTTAAGCCCACACAATAACATAGCCTCGGGAGTCACATATCATCATGTTTGTGATAGCAAATGGCTACAAGGGCCAGCCCTGTGTTCCGGGCGGGAGGAGCCCACACAAGGTGAGAAATCAGGAGGTGAGGACACTGGGGGCCATCTTGGAGGCTGGCTACTACAGTATCGGATAGCAGGCTGAGCGGGAGACCCACCCCATGTGCAGGATTTACAAAGGAAACAATGGAGGCCCAGCTGCACAGCACTTGGGCCCCTCAGCCTATCGAGGATATGAAGAGGGTCAGAGTGTAGAGAAGAGCAGGCTTTGGAAACAGCAACCTTCCCAAAGAGTAAAGCTATACTGTGAGTTCCACCCTCAACAGGGTGGGGGCCCTACCACTTTTACCTCAAGCCTCATAATGGGGGCTCCCAAGAAGTCATTCGGAGCTGTGGGCCCCCACAGGCCTGTGCCAACTGGATGCATTGTGCTGGGATTGGGGAAGGGGCCCTGTGAGTGCTTCCCAGGGACCAGAGGCAGGCTGTGAGGGAAGAGGTCAAGCATGGGGCCATTTTCAGCCCCATAGGGCCTCATAAAGGGGCAAAGGGGTCTCAGTAAGGGGAGGCTGGAAGGTGGTGCTGGATTCCCCAGGGGGCTGAGATGCAGATCGGGACCCTCAAGAGGGAGCCTCAGAGATGAGAACCCCTGAAGAGCCCAGGAGAGCCCCGCCCCCTCCCCCAGGCAACAGCTTTTACCATCTGCTGGGCCCACGGGGGCCGTGGTCAGGGAAGAATTGCTCTTTTCCCCTGTGTTCACTTCTTCCCCCAACAATCCCTCCCACTTAGACCTTAGAAGCAACCAGCAAGGGAGGGGAGGCAGACAGGTGAGAAAACGGACGAAAGCCTGCCACAGCCCAGTCCCCGGAGGCCAGCAGCCCAGACACCAGACCTTAGAGCAGAAGGAGGATGTTTTTCTCCGAAGGGAGGTGAGTGTCATATCTATGACAGGATGGGTTTGTTGTTTGAAGATTTTTTTTTAAGTAACCGCCAACACCCTACAGGGGTGGGGGGCTTGAACTCACGAAATGAGGTGTCATCACCCCAAGATAAACACTTTCCACCGACTGAGCCAGCTAGATGCTTGTAGTCTCTAAATGGATTGTGGAATAACCTTACCTGACCTTGAACAGAGGGGTATCCCTCCCTTGCTGAACAGTTCACGTGGGCCCCGAGGGGCAAAAATGGAGCCACGCTTTGACTACACCCCCATTCAAAGGATTGGTTTCACTGAACTCACACTTTCTCAAGGGAAGTTGGGTCTTCCATTCCCTGCCCACCACCGGCAACTGCAGAGCCCTGACCCACAGGGAGGCTCCTGAAGAACATTTCGTCTCCACTTTTGTCCATAAGTGAAGAATGTTTACTATGTTTTTTTCCTTCTTATCTGTCTGGAAGTGACACCAAGGGAAAAAAAGAAAATAAAATAAAAAAGAAGGGACTCCTTGTCCCCAGCCAAACACCCACACCCTCTGGATTCTTCACCCTGTCTTGGCCTGACTTCACCCCTGGAGGGGAGGCCAGGCCTGAGGTCTGCAGGCTGCAGTGCTGGAGGAAAGATTTCTGGGAGGATACAGCTCCGCCTGGAAACAAAAGCTGTTTTTCGAAAGCTTTGTGCCGGCAACGAAGTGGGGGAGGGGCCTGGGCAAAGCCAGGCTGAACATCAGGGAGGGAAAGCTCCTCTTAAAAAAAATAGCTAAATTCCCCAGGGTTGTTGGGGCTGTGATCTGATCCGTGCTTTAAGGGTCTTATTTGTTATTATTTGGGGGGAAAATTAAGTGGCCTCTGAGTCCCCCTCTCTCACTGTCCTTGCAGCAAGGGCGGGTGGCTCTGTACCTTTATAGGAGACAGGCTTGTAAAGAAGGATGGGCCTCAGAGAGAAGGCATCAGATCAGGCAGCAGCTGGGGGCCTGCAGAGAGCCCAGGGTCCTCAGAGCATCGCTCTGCTGATCAGACACCCACCAGGAAGCTCTTAGAAAGGACCCAGCTGAGCAGAGGCGTGGGCTGGAATGCAAGTGGGGATGGATGTGAGCCTGGGAAGCAAAGGCATTCCACAATCAGGGCTTCTAGAAAAGCCCGCCTTCCCCAGCCCAGCAGATTCAGGGAGGAGAGATCCCTGGGTCTCTATATTCAGTAAAAAGCACTTCCCAGGCTAAGGATAACAGTGGTATTTCCGACCTAAACAAGCCTCATTTTTCAGTCTGTTAGAGAGAGGGCTCCTATTGCATTCTTTAAGAGATGCTAGGCCTTAAATACAATCTGTCACAGGTCACCCATTTCTCTCTCCCGGGTGCCAAGAAGCAGTCTTAACCCCCACCAGGCAATGGCTGCCCTCTTTGGATCAGTTTCCCAAAGAGCTTAAGCACGAACAAGTTGCTGTCACATTGCCTGGAGCTAACGAGCCCTGAAGGGTCTCCCGGGGAGGTCTTCCCTGGTGAGAACACAGCTCTTTCCGGGAGCTCACTTTCCCCGGTGTGTTTGGACTGGGGAGTAACTCCAGAGTGTCTGAACTCTGCATGGGAACAGTTAGCAGGGCTTCTCCATGTGAGTGCCAATGACATTTTGGGCTGGAAGATTCTTTGCTGTGGGGGCTGCCCTGCGCATTGGAGGATGTTTAGGACATACCCTCCATCCACAAGGTGTCAGTAGCATCCCCTCCTTCCCCTTTCCCTTCACTTTGACAGTCAAAACCGCCTCTGGGCCTTGGCGAATATTCCTGGGGACAAAATCATTCCTGATAGAAGACCTTAGTGGCAGGAAGCAGTGCCCATTCAGTAACTACACAGCCCCAGAGATTCCGGGCAGAGGGAGGCTGCATACATCCCAAGAGAATTTTCACTCTACACACAAAAAGGCCAAGTCTTCATGGTCCTTGTATCAGTGCTTTTTCGGTTGCACCAAGTGACAGGATATTCACCTCTAAATGACTTCAAAGCGGGGATGGATGTCATCTCTGGTAACTGAGAAGACCAGGAACTTAGGCATAGTACTGGCTCAGGCCTGATTTGACCCAGGGACTCAATCTTACTGGGACTTGGTTTTATCTTTATCTCTTGACTTTGCTCTTCCGAATATTTTCTTCTCACAGGGGCAAGATGGCCATGAGTGCTCCAATCCTGTATGTTCCCAGTTTGAGATTTGTGGAGGAAAAAATGCCAAGTATTTTCCTTTCTGCATTCCCAGCAGAAGTCCCATTGCACTTCATTGCTCTGATTTGGTTGTGGGCCCATCGCCAAGCAGTACACAACGGCTGGGGAATGTGATGACCTAATTGGCCAGACTGTAGTCATGTGCCCACCTCTGGATGTAGGGGTAGAGTCAACTCCATGTGCAGGATGCCCAAGATGGAAAAGTGGAGGGTTCCCAATACGAGAATCAGGGTACAACTACCAGAGGAGAGGTGAAAGGATCTGGGATGGCCAAAGGCAACAGATAGGTACTGGGCTTCATACTAAAAAGAAGCTCATTGTTGTTAAATACATCAAGGTGAGAGGTAACAGCGTAAGGAGGACTTTGCTGAATGGCAGTACAAAGCTTGTGCCACCATTGTCTGAATCAACCTCCAGGTGACAGACGAAAGCTTTCTTACATGTCTCTAAGACAAAGTAGCAACTGCCATGTTCCTTCAAATGGGTTCTTGGGGCACCTGAGTGGCCCAGTCAGTTAAGCACCTGACTTTGGTTCAGGTCATGATCTCACAGCTTCAGATTCTGTGTCTCCCTTTCTCTTTGCCCCACTCCTGCTCACACTCTGTCTCTCTCTCTCAAAAATAAAGATTAAAAAGTTTTTAAAAATGGGTTCTTAAAATGGAGACTATTAGAGTTTCCTTCCCTTCTTCCATAGTAACACATTTGTAGTTGAGCCCATAGTGGCCCAGCTGGGGACAGCATTTCCTGGCTCCCTTGCAGCTAGGTATGACCATGTGACTAAGTTTCCACTATCTGAATAGAAGGGACCATCAGACCTATGCCTTAAAATAGTGAGCCCGCCTCCTTGACACTCTTTCCTCTTTCCTTAATGCAGACCATGAACTTGCCTGAGACCCAGCTTTGACCACGCAAGCACACCCTAGGGGCTGACGAGGGAGATGCAAGCAACCTGGATCCCTGAGCTACCACGTGGAACAGAGCCTCCTCCCAGCCTGGAAGGAAGAGTACCTCAAGTGAGGAAAAGTTTCTGTCTTTTCTAAGCTGCTGAATTATTGCGTTTCATCTATTTTGTGATCTTTTTCATATTCTAATACTTCTGAAATTCATTGTGTCATTGGCTATACAGTGCTCATCCGGGACCACCTTGAGTGAGGCCCCAGGAAAATATTTTCATGGGGCTCCTGTCTATACAACAAACTAACTAAAATCAGTGCATTACAAAATGCATAAGTCCATATGCAGTAGAGTGATTTATCAATGAAGATTTAGCATAAAGGGTAGAGGAGATCTGCTTATGTATTTATTGTCCAATCAGTGCACATGAAGGCCAGGCACCATCTCTTCGTGTTGAGATCCAGGAACCATCTCTTCATAATTTCTATCCACCACTATGAAAAAACAATAGCGACATATTATTATGTTGACTAAACACTGGGCACCTAATATAACCTTTTAAGAACACGTGTCATGCTCTATTTCAGCCTTTACCTGCCTTTGTCACATACTATTGATTGTTTAAAACAAATTTTTTTTTTACATTTATTTATTTTTGAGAGACAGAGAGAGAGAGCATAAGTGAGGGATGGACAGAGAGAGAATGAGACACATAATCTGAAGCAGGCTCTAGGCTCTGAGCTGTCAGCAGAGAGCCCGATGTGGGGCTTGAACTCATGAACTGTGAGATCATGCCCTGAGCCAAAGTCAGACGCTTAACCTACTGAGCCACCCAGGCACCCCCATACTATTGATTGTTTAATGTTTGTTGAGGCTTCCTCTCCCTTCTAGAAATTGCATGTTGTGTAGAAGTGACGTTTTGTGTTCATTAGATAGAAATCCCATGAATTTCCGATTGACCTAACAAGTAACAGTGGTAGCAGAACATTTGGTTTTGAACTTTGAACATACTTCGACCACAAAAGCCAGTTTCTATAGTTTCACCATATGAAGAAGATATAAAGGGAGCTGCTAACTTGTTTGCCAGACTTCGGGTAGGACCCATCACTGAGGAATCATGCTTTCCAAGGCAACAGCATGAGGGTCAAGTACCTCCCGCCACCAACCCTTGTGGCTCAGTCCTAGAGACTGTTGTGCCAGCCGCGCCTGCGCACACGCACCTGTGGTCGGGAAGTCCTCCCCAGGCGCACCTCTACCCCCTACCCCTGACCTCCATGGTGCTCTGGGTGCTCCAGGTGGGGGTCCTTACTTCTGCATCATCCAGTGGGGCAGGGCCAATGAGTGGCCTGGGCGTCAGGGAGGAAGAGAATGAGAAAAGCCTGGGAGGGGAGGGTGTGACAGAGAGGTACAATATGGCTAGCTGGCAGAACATGGGTGGGGGGGTGCTGCCCCCCACCCCCCACTGGGCCAAGAACTTACCTTGGGGACTGCTGAGAGACCATGAGCCAAGGGGATAGAAAGGCAGCCATGAATGGGTGACCAACAGGCCATAATATGCGTGAGATAAATATACAGAAGCAGCAAAAGCGGACTGTGGGTGGCTCAATCAGTTAAGCATCCAACTTGGGATTTTGGCTCAGGTCCCAATTTTTCGGTTAGTGAGATCGAGCCCTGCCTCTGGTGCTCACAGCGCAGAGCCTGATTGAGATTCTCCCTCTGGTCCTCCTGCTCTCTCTCTCTCTCTCTCTCTCTCAAAATAAATTAATTAATTAAAAAAGAAAAGAAAAGAAACAGCAAAAGGGACAAGGTTCTAAGTGAGAAATGGCAGCCTGTCAACAGACTCTTTATATCAAAATTAATTTAAGACCAATCTTACAAAAAAAAAAAAAGAGCTATTCCATCTGCTACTGTAACTCCAGTCATCACCCTATACAGAGAGCTTCAAAGTTCCGCCTCTTAGATGGATCCAGCCCAACGTTTGGGAGATGGGTGAGGGATGCCTAAGCTGAGGGCAGTCTTTGCTGTGGGGGTTGTGTCTTCGGTGGAGCCAGCCATTTGTACTACCAAACCTTCCTAATGCCAAAATCATGACCACTTAGTGACACCGGCTGGACTTTCCAAGGATGGGACATAAGACAGCATGCCTTTTGTTGTCATATTTTTGTGCCAATGGGGAGTGGGTTGCGGCGTGAGCAGGAGCCCTGCTTTTCCTGGTTTCGGCAGTGCTGTTGTTTGTCACTCCCTGCATAAGAAGGATCCTTCTGGTAAGATCACAAAAGTGCCAGCATCAAACTTGAAGAAAGAGTGTCCATGGCTTGGAAAAAATCCCAGACGCAACAGCGAAACACCCTTTGAAGACACGCTGCATCATGAGTGCTCTAGGTGTGAAGAATGATGTTGTTGGGGGAGACAGCCATGAGTCTGAGATGAGCAGACGTTCAGAAGTTGGCCAATGGAAGAGGGGATTTGGTTGATGCTAGATGTCAGTGAGCACATCCACATATGCCGAGTCACCACCATTCCCATTTTCTCTGGTTCTAGAACTGGCCTCGTCAGACTGAATTTGCCACTGTAACTAAGGACAAGGCAGCACACCAGGATGCGCTCTGTCAGTTCCAGGGCTTGTATTTATGCTGGAGACACAGGTGGCATGCCGTGTGAGCACAGAACCACTCCCGAGAAAGACTCCGCCAGGCTACAAAAACCACATTGACGTGACTGAGCTGGAAGAAACTGTGATTTCTTCCAACCCTCCCCTTAGAGAATAACAGACACACTACAGTTTGGAAAGCACTTTTATATTTATTTTATCCCATTCCATTCTTATAGCCCTGGAAAGGAGGGCAGACATCATCATCACTCCATTTTTATAAATGAGAAATAGCAGCTCAGAGAGGTAAAGGGACTTTCCCAGGGGGCCCTAGCTTGTAAGTGACAGGTCCTGGATTCAAGTGAGATCTTTTTGCCCCACCCTGGGCTCTGTCCACTTTTAGGGCAATCCCATTTCTATTTTTGTTTTTTGCATTATCTAGGTCTAAATACATTGAATTATGAAGGGGCTGGAGTGCCAACTCCTGCACAAAGATGAGGTATAACTTTTGACTCCCCTCGGATTTAACTAGTAATAACAATACTGTTGACTGGAAGGTTTACCAATATCATAAACTGTTGATTAACACATTGTTATATGTTGTATGTATTATGTACTGTATTCATATAATAAAGTAAGCTAGAGAAGAGAAAATGTTATTAAGAGAATCTTAAGGACGAGAAAATATATTAATAGTATCCTACTGTATTTATCCAAAAAATCTGTGTACAAATGGACGCGGGGGTGCCTGGCTGGCTCAGTTGGTATGGAATTCTTGATCTCGGGGTTGTAAGTTCAAGCCCCACATTGGGTGTAGAGATTACTTTAAAAAATAAACTCTTAAAATAAATCAATAAATTAAACAAACAAATAAATAAATGGACTCATGCAGTCCAAACCTGTGTTGTCTAAGGGTCAGCCAAAGTTTGTTTTGTGTTCATTTTTGGGAGGAGGGGGAGGGGTGTGATGGTTGGGAGGTCTCTTAGAGTCTACAGAGAAAATTCTTGTAGAGCAAGAACCCCCACTGACAACACAATGTTGAATTTTGAACTGCAACCATTGCTAATTTCTCTTAGAATGGCATTCTCACAGATTGCCCATGAGTTGGGAGCTTTTCATTTATTATATCCCTTATGGAAATAAGAGGTGCCTTTAAGAAGGAGGTGAGAAGTCTTTATTTCATTTTCAAGTTATACAAGGAACCAATACTCCTGAGGTTTATTAATTATGGGATGGAGTTTACAGAACACCACCGACAGCCCCCACCTCAAGTATTAGCATGTTTGCATCGGATGACACACTTTTGTTATTTTTTATTGAAGTAGAAAAGTTTTGAGGTTTGTTTTTTAAGGTTTATTTATTTTGAGAGAGCACGCAAGCAGGGGAGGGGCAGAGAGGGGGTACAGAGAATCCAAAGCGGGCTCATGATAACAGCAGCGATCCCGATGCAGGGCTTGAACTCACAAACCGCGAGATCACGACCTGAGCTGAAGTCAGACACTCAACCAACCAAGTCACTCAGGCACCCCAGAAGTTTTTTTTTTTTAATGTTTTATTTATTTCTGAGAGAGAAAAAGAGAGAGAGAATGAGCAGGGGAGGGGAGAGAGAGAGAGGGAGATACAGAATCTGAAACAGGCTCCAGGCTCTGAGCTGTCAGCACAGAGCCCGACGTGGGGCTCGAACCCATAGACTGTGAGATCGTGACCTGAGCCAAAGTCGGACACTTAACTGACTGAGCCACCCAGGTGCCCCAGGTGCCCCAGAAGTTTTGAGTTTTAGTTGTTTTGTTCTGTGGGAGTTGGTTGGTTTGGGTTAAGAGCTCCTTGAGGAGAAAGAGCAAGGAAGGAACTGATGAACTGTCAGCCCCCATCTTGGCCTGAGAGACTCCTTTCTGGTCCCAGTGAGGGATGAGTTGGGTGAGAGAGGAGTAATCATGTAAGACTTTGAGCAACTGAAGATACAAACAGTTTTGCTTCGGGTAACAAAGTACAGCCAGTCATTAAGGTCATTCGTTCCCCAGTGTTCCATCCTGCCCTCCACTTTGGCAGGTTGGTGACTTGAAAGAAAGGCTGTGCCCAGCATACAGGAGTGACCATTATACAAACACTGCTCTCACAGAGGACACGCACGCTTGATGAGGTAAGGGGATGTGAAGAGTAGACCACCAATGGGGAGCTTGCAATGGGCGAGCATCGTGGATCTGCCCTGAGCTGGATCCCTCAGGGGCATGCACAGATCACTGAGAAGTTAGTAGGAGCAGGGGACTAGAAGACAATTCTATAGGCCTTCAAGAGGGCTCAGAACTGAGGAAATTTAGGTCTGGATGTCAATATGACAGCCCACAGGCTGGTGAAGTCTGGAAGTGGAATGTTGTGAAATGCTGGACTTTATTCTTCTACCATATGTCATTCAACCTCAGAAATTCTGTCATTAGTGCAGCTGCCCCGAAACATGCTCACAGTGCAGACTCTTCCAAGTGCAGTTATTTGGGGCAGGCATCCCCGCAGCCGATTGCCCTGTCTC